ATATGTAGGAGTAGGCGGCATTAGTGGACAAGTTGGTCTCCCAGTCAAAGAAGCACAAGGTCCAGGAGTACTGGCAGTCATTTATGAATAATTTATAATATCATTTTTTTTTTCTCTTACCTAACTGGTTTGGGGGGACAGCATTTTTTGGCGCCCTCCTGGAAAGTGCCGCCCTAGGCAAATGCCTAGTTTGCCTAGCAGTAGATACACCCCTGCCTATATCTGGTAATCCCATGACCTGGGTGAATGAGAACCGTCGCAGACACAAAGAAAGGACAAAGTTTCGCCTTTATCAAGTCAATTTTTTTTAATAAACAATAATAAATGTATCAATATTACGCGGCGTCATAGTGCAAAATCAAACAGGCTCAGCAGTATACAGATGAAACGGTAAACATAAACCTTTGTGCCCCCCGGGCCTGTTCACACCATAGTGTCGCGGTAAATGCGTGGGATCCCCGTGTGTGTTTATCGCACGATTTTTCACAGTGTATGATACCGCACGCCAAGTGCGCCGATGCGTTATAAAACCATTTGTAGCCCCCATGACCTTCTGTGATGTGGCTACTAGGCATTTAGTGGTAGCCGGGGCTGTAGTCAGCCTGGCTGGATTTGTAGTGGCATTTATCTGGTTAATTCCCGGTGCCTGGCATTGCCTGTAGCCCCCCTGGGCGGAGTGTGACTCATATTGTGAGAGATGCTATAGTGTATGTACAGTACAGCAACCAATCACTGGGCTTCTCTCAGCCAGTGGTGCATGCTGGGATAGGGGACATATACTGGTGGGATTTGCCATGTGCACAGACTAGCCGGGACCAGCCATGGAATAGGGCTGGGTGCTGTTCAGTCTCCCCCCCAGGCTAGGCCTGGGGGTTGGGCATGGGCTGGCGTGAGGGAAAGGTTTCCCCGAGGCCTCCAACATGGAGGAGGCTTGTGTTACTGATAGAGGAAGAGAACCGGGACCAGTGCAGGCTCCTGAAGTATGCTGGAACTAAGAGGACTTCAGGAGGATGGTCGGTGTCTCTCCTGTTGAGGATCTCCATCCATCCTGCCTGTCTGTTACATCAGTCGCTGTCCACTGCCTCCCAGGTGGATCTACACTGATAGGCCAACCAGGTCTGGTGAGTCTGGAGCTCTTGTTGGTTACCCCTGGACACCTAGAACCCCCCCCGGACCCTCTCTCCCCAGAGAAGATGTTCAATAAAACGTTATTCAGCATTATACTACTGGAGTGGACATCAGTCTGAGGGGCGCCAGAAGAAGGGGGGTTAGTGCTAATGGGCGGGCAGCTGAAGAACCTCCCCTAGACAGACTAGAGATGGACCGGCATCCAGCGGCTCCTCCGGGGGATGAGCGCTACACATTCTCAAATGAAACCCAACGCACCTCCTGTGGGGCACAAGCCACACCCCGGGGGAAATAATAAAATGCACGCACTGCTTTTTCTTTAATAAAACGCCATTGCAACACACGTCGTTGCGCTGTTGCTGCAACGCCTGCCGGGAGATGCGATGAGTTGCCATTGGCACACCAAGCATGTGGTACCGCGCGCTGCCTTAAATGTTTAGCACAACGCTACACCGTGAAGGAATTGTGACCTAACAATGAGGACCTCTTAAGCGGTTTTGTTAAAGTCCGAGTCCAACTAATGCTGAGTGACTAAGGCCATCTTAACGCACATGCTCATCACCACTAACGCAGACATTTCTCCCCGCCTGTCTCTGCCCCCAGCGCTATTGCCTTGTCTGCCCCAGCTGATCGCCTGACTTACAGTCTGATTGTACAATCTCTGTGTGGTCTCCTTTAGATATCTGCAGTGCAAGTTCACCGCAATGTGTAGTCATGAATGAATCTACAGAAGGTTGTACACTCCGATTGTAAAGTATGTCGCCGGTCGGTCATGAATACGTTTATCTGACCATAATGTTGCAAAACCTTTCATTCTTACAGTCACCCAGCTCCAGAGTGTGCAGTGTACGGACAGGGCCAAGCATTTGACAGCGGAGCAGATGTAACAGGGAGGTTCCTGCACTGCCGGGGGGGGGAGGGGTGGATGTGAGGTGCCCTTACTGTGGGCTAATGGGCAGTGACGATAATTTGTGGAGCGGGAAATAGAGGGAGAGATGC